AGTGCCTCTATCTCAGAAAGAGTTGTTCCCCTTTGTTCGTCCACGTCCTCGTCAGCTGTTAAAGTCTCTCCAAGGAAGGGTTTGTTTTAATCATTATGTGCCACATCAGTTCCAGCTGAAATAAAAATCTGAGATATAACTCAGTAATCGGACAAAAATGAGAAGAAAACTACGTGTTTGTTTAATATTATATTGTAGTTATTGTTGTGTTTTTCCCCTTTACAGAATAGGCGAATGCTACTTTTTTTTTAAGAGAATACGATTTATTCTTTTATTAACAAAACCGAGACCTCTAAATAAAGCTCGTTATTTCTCGTTGGTTATTTTTTAACAATGTGATCATTGAAAGTATTTATGCTTCATGACTGAATTCTTGGTCTCGTTATTTTGTTTTTTTCAGCATCATTTGTTTTTCGGCGTTGTTTGATTTGAATAACTAAACACACCTATAGCATTTTTACGTAAGTGAAATTTACTATCTTAGAAAATTTTCAAGTATGAAATCGTTAAGTTAAAACAAAAGATGTTTAATACTTTTAATACCGCGTTTTAATTAATGGTTCGCTTGTCTCTGTCTTTCCCATATTGTTTTAATAAACAAAACGTAATGATATGCCTTTATCAGGCTCGATATCGAATTTGATTCAGACTATATACACGTACACCAGTAAAAGGAAATTCTTGATATAAAAGAACCCAAATCAACCACGTTGTCGAAATGTGTTGACTGTGGCTGACTTCCATATCTTCTCTCAGATAATTGATCGACCAGCTCCAGAAACGCCCCGCTCTGCTTCCCAATATTAAACAAACAGAGTTCAACTCCCGTAAATCACAATCTGACCGTATGACCGTTGTGTCAGTAACCCACAGTGATTACAACAGATGCTCGGTCTTGCTCCAGTTGTTTTTAAATGATTTTCCAGAGAACATATTTCTTTAGGAATAGATTCTAGTACGACAAAAAAAAGTTGCCGTTTCGTAAAAAAAAAAGTATATTTTTTTGCGATAAAGGATTTTATTCCAAAACGTTAGATCTATGTAGTAATATTATTTTAAATTTTTTATTTCGAATTTGTAGAAATATATTTTTCCTATTTATTAACTCTTATTGTACATTTAATTATGTAATCTTAATTAATAATTCGATTGTTTTCCCACTGTTACTTAAAAGAACTTCGTTAACGTTGACACAATGCGATGGTGCGTCGTTAATGAGTGCAAATGTAATTCAACAAAAAATATCAAAGATAATAACCCCGATGTTTAGTTTTTCATCGAAAATGATGCAAAAAGCTGACTGCAACTGCACCGAACAACTCCACAAACGTCCAATAGGCATTCATCATTCTCTCTCGTTTGCTGTTTAATACAGCCCCAATGGTATCCGAATTCCCCCAAAACACAAAAAACATGTAAGATCATTCCCTAACGTCAAAATACTGCCAATAGGCTACGTCTTCTGTTTTCACGCACATCAGTTAAACTTACGTAATGTTCTATGGGTCTGTTTTCTATGTTAACTAAGCTGACTCTCTCGACAGAAGGTATGTTTGTATAAATAAAACAGTTGTTGATGACTTTCACATGCGTCGTGGTCATTAAGGATGCTGACTTCAAACAGAATTTTGAAAATTTGCACATGGATATTTGAGTAACTTGTCAAGGGCTAGAGGTGCGAAGTGACTCTGTCTTTATATTGTTGAAGCCCCATACATTTGAACTCTTTATAAATCGTTAACGACATCTAGGGCTATGCATGATGAAATATGTAATAGTTGTTTAAATAATCCTAATTGGATTTCACGAAGTTTGTGGGACATGATTTGTGGTTTAGATGATGACTCAGCATATATAGCGTGACATGTTTGCACTTTCAGGCCAGTGAAACATGTCATATAATATTTGTGTCATAAATTCTGTAGCACCTATGACATGAAGTGGGAATGTTTTTTTTACACATAATATTACACTATTAGCAATAGCACGTTTGGGAAAACTATAAAAGATTCAACAAATTCATCAAATGTGGGTATCGAACACGATATTTTAGGTGTGACGAGCGAACGCATTACCCTTTAAGCCAACCCATGGTAATTTTTTAAAACGTTAGACGTTTACTTAATGTGGTGTGTGTGATCTTACTAGACTATTGAAATACTATATCAATAACACGACGGGGCAAGTAAATTCGGTTTCACAGAACCTTAGACTAACATCTAGTCTCTGAAATGAACATGTGCTGAAAAAAACCCAGTTGTTCAAATATCTTAATAGAAATACAATAAAAGGGAGCCCAGATATTCTCTACTGCAGTAATCTTGACTTGCCAAACATTATAGACTTGCATGGGCTGTATTTGATATATATTTGTATCAGGGTCTGTAAGACAGACTACGGCGTGCTGAGAAAACCTCACGAAAGTCCACAGTACAGGTAATAAATATCCCGTGTGTCTCAGTCGCTGAGGCGCCACAATTCGCTATGCAGAGTTACGCCCCTTAGGCGTATCAGAAACCTATCCTTGTGGGTTCCAATCCTAGATTCTCCCTGATCAAGTTTCTAATTTTGTAAGCATCACACCTGCGCTCTTGGGTTTCACCAAAATGGTAAACGTTTAAGACCCGCATCACTTCATCCCACATCGGCGTGATATAACAGAAATACTGATCAAAGCGGCGTTAAACCTAGCCTTGCTTTAGTCTTGGTCTTTGAATGGCATTTAGAAGTGATACAAATAAGGAAGAGAATTTATGGATGTCAACTTCTTTATTACGAGGAAACACAACGTTTCGGAATATATGCTTACTCCTTCATCAGGTGAATGAATGCCATGAGGCAGAGAGCAAATATATGTACATTTAAGGACAACAAAAGTAATAAGATAACAAAGGTTTTTTTTTTCCACACAAAAGGCTGACGCGCTGTGATATGATAATAACTCTTTCGGGGTACGATGTCGCACAACCGGCGAGGCCAAAGCTAAGTGTCCCCTCCCAAGTTTATCTTCATCTCACTACATTTGTGTGCCCCCGTGGTGATTCCGGGATACGCTGGTCGTACGATGCGCCTTAATGGACAGGTTGGTCATGCTCGGTGACTCGATGGCGTGGTTTGATGTTCACAAGACCGCCGTCTAATGACTGGAATATTGATGAGAGTGGCGTTAATTTCCCCGGAAAGTAGTGATAGATGGTGAAACAGTGGTGGTACTTGCACTGGTAGAAGTAAACGGCTGTTCGGAGGAGCATCAGTATGCAACAGAGCCTTGTTCGATCACTGGTACCTGTATGTCATGTCCAGTCGTGCTTACTGTAAGCAGTGATGCCAAACGAAAAACTAACCGCAGTGTCCGGGCGTGCATTGGAAGCAGTGATATTAGTAAACAGCTGTGTCATTGGTGCTTGTTGCAAGCAGTGATATTAGTAAACAGCTGTGTCATTGGTGCTTGTTGCAAGCAGTGATGCCAAACAAACTAAACGCAGTGCCCGGGCGTGCACTGGAAGCAGTGATATCAGTAAACAGCTGTGTCATTGGTGCTTATTGCAAGCAGTGATATCAGTAAACATCTGTGTCATTGGCGCTTATTGTAAGTTGTGACATCAGTAAACAGCTGTCAGTGGCGCTCATTGCAAGCAGTGATATCAGTAAACATCTGTGTCATTGGTCCTGATTGCAAGCAGTGGTATCAGTAAACAGCTGTGTCATTGGTGCTTATTGCAAGTTATTGCAAGCAGTGATATCAGTAAACATCTGTCATTGGCGCTTATTGGTAGAAGTGATACCAGTAAATAGCTGTGTCATTGGTGCTTATTGGAAGCAATGATATCAGTTAACAGCTGTCAGTGTACCTATTGCAAGCAGTGGTATCAGTAAACAGCTGTGTCATTTGTGCTTATTGCAATCAGTGATATCAGTAAACAGTTGTATCATTGGTGCTTATTGCAAGCAGTGATATCAGTAAACAGTTGTGTCATTGGTGCTTATTGCAAGCAGTGGTATCTGTAAACAACTGTGTCATTGGTGCTTATTAGAAGCAGTGATATCAGTTAACAGCTGTATCATTGGTGCTTATTGCAAGCAGTGATATCAGTAAACAGTTGTATCATTGGTGCTTATTGCAAGCAGTGATATCTGTAAACAACTGTGTCATTGGTGCTTATTAGAAGCAGTGATATCAGTTAACAGCTGTATCATTGGTGCTTATTGCAAGCAGTGATATCAGTAAACAGTTGTATCATTGGTGCTTATTGCAAGCAGTGATATCAGTAAACAGTCGTGTCATTGGTGCTTATTGCAAGCAGTGATATCTGTAAACAACTGTCATTGGTGCTTATAGTAATAGTAATAGTAGTAGTAGTAGTAGTAGTAGTAGTAGTGTAGTAGTAGTAGTAGTAGTAGTAGTTGTAGTAGAAGTAAAAGTAGTAGTAGTAGTATTATAAGTAGTAGTAGCAGCAGTAGTAGTAGTAGTAGTAGTAGTAGTAGTAGTAGTAGTAGTAGTAGTAGTGGTAGTAGTAGCAGTAGCAGTAGTAGTAGTAGTAGTAGTAGTAGTAGTAGTAGTAGTAGTAGCGGCTATATTGAGTGTAGCCGGTATGAATTCACTACAGTCTCATGTTCTAGTTACCTGAGATGAATATGATGAGTTTCCTTCGGTTTTGTATTCACTTTCATCTTCTGTAACTCAGTAACCCAAAGCAATACAAGTAAAAATTAATAAACCCTCCGCTTTAAGATCCTTTAACATTCACACTGATGAAGGCAACTAAATGATACCGGAGTAGCCATGTGATAGCTTAATGCTTGGCGCTACAATAACAATAAGCCCCTCTACATAGTCCTTTCATCTGGCTGTCCATACTGAAGCCGGCATGAACAGTCAGGCAATATGAACCAGCCCTCCAAGTATTGTTGAATTATAATGTTTCCATGTGGCAAAATATATTTAAAACAGGGTAGGTATAAAACATTAGTAATATTTCACTTTAGTTCATGCGGAGAGAGTTGCTTTCAAACTCCGCGGGGGGTTGGACGGACGTACCTTTCCCACGCCAGTTTTTTGAAGGTTTTATTCTCGAATTAGTCCTGTATTTAAAGTATTAACCATCTGTAGCTCGAGGTCTGCTGTTAAAAGACAGCGCGATTCTTCTGGGCTCTTCTGGAAGCTTAAAGTACGTTCTGGAGGTCTTGGGGCGACATCTGGTAAAGTCCAATTCTCCTCCATCTTATTCCGTGAGGTTTTCCTGCTAAAATCATCAAATAAATATTCATCGCTCGTTTCAGAGACCCCGCTCCCACTTTTCGTCATGGATGTAGAGTAAGACGCGAGAATGATCGTAGTAGAGTAAGGGGCGAGATTTACTAGCAGGGACCACTCGTGAGGCCGGAGGAAAGTAATGTTACTCTATTCAGGTAGGTCTGGATGTTGCAGGAACGTGTGTTTCATAAAAATGTCCAAGTGACACGGCTTGGCAGGTGGACGCCTCAGTGCGTGACTCACTTCCATTTAGATTTATTATACTAATAACAGATGAAAAACAAGAATAAATAACTCATGTTCCTCATTTATCAACAAAATGTTCCACTCAACGCGCTTCAACAATGACAAAATGCAAACATATTTCAAAGATAAATTTGGCCTCCGTGTAGTATATACGAAAATAAACAGTTCCCTGTGGATCCATCTGATGGTAGATTCGTAAAATATATTTTTACTACGATGTTGCATATTGTCGTAATTTTGCTTTATAGATTATATATTTCCATGTCTGATTTATTCTGAATAAATTAATTATTTGAGTAATCCGTAATTCAGTAAGTAACACGATTCGTTATTATTACCGTCTTGTGGATAGGGCGTCTGCCCGGAAGGCGGAAGGTCGTGGGTTCGATCCCGGCCGCGTCATTCCAAAAGACGTTAAAGATGGTACTTGGTGTTACCCTGTCTGGTGCTCGGCTTAAAGGGGCTCAAACAAGGACTGATCGGCTCGGAGTCAGTATACTGTGCCTGAGTGGGGTATTCATGTTAAACTGTGGCATGGTATCTCAGTGAGCTTGCACTATAAAGCTGGCGTAAGTCTGGTCTAGCACAGGCAGACAGACACACACACACCGAGACACACACACACACACACACACACCGAGACACCGCAACGTTAAACCCCAATTTCACGCCACCTATATTACCACTATTGTATGTCCAATAACAGAAAGAGTAAACAAAAATATTTACTGAAGAAACTTTTTACAATCAATGTGACAAATTCATTTAATTGATAATAGTATAATTTTCAATAACAACTGTGAGAAACACCGATCACGAACTTTACGGCATTGGAACTGGATACCATGGACTAATAATCACACAGTTTACACATATTTTAAATATAGGAACAACTCAAAGTAGACACAATTTATGGATATAAACTTCTTTAATAATGTAAAGGCGACGTTTCGGTATAGACCCTTATACCGCTATCAAGCAAGTAACAACAACTCGTTATTCGATCCGAAATAAAATACGAATAAAAAGTATATTTATTTCATCGAATAACGAGGAGTTATTACACACACACACACACACACACACACACACACACACACACACACACACACACACACACACACACACACACACACACACACATTATTTTTTATTTAAACGGAATTAATAATACTCGTAGCAATTTTCATAGTCATAATTGTTTCCTCTTCAACTGACATTTGTCTATATATACTGATTTCGATACGTCATCGACTGAGCATCACAACAATTTTATAAGGTTAGAGTTAAATAATCACAACCTATAGCATTTCAAGAATACGCAATTTATCAATCAATTGTCTAACAACAATACAACTAACAGAAAAGGCACCTGCTCATCATTTTATTTATGTCTTTGAGTATGTTTAAAATGTCAGTACCCGATTCATATTTCAACCACATGCACCAAAATGCGATTAAAATGAAATTGACAAAATCCTAAAATGCCGGACTGAAACTTAAAGATTTTCTTTACGCTCATAAGATTATATCAGCTTGGCGGTAGTAACATGGTCGACAGACTTGTACGTTTTTCAGTGGGCTCCAATACAGAACCCTTTAGCAATTTTTCTCAGTTAATATGGTATGTGTTCAGACAAAGGTGTAACCTACTTAGTTTGTTAGCCCACATGGACTAGCTAATAAAGTAACACTATCTTCATATCTTAACAATGTTTCAATTTTCTGTATGAATTTAGAGACAAAAGAAACGCATGATACATTCATTGTCAACCCCCCATAACCTGTCGGCTGGTTTCATGCAAGAATACGTCATCTGATGGTGATGTGGGAAAAACAAATCAGTCCTTTTCATTTAAGATCAAAATCACCGCCAAGGAACAATAAAATCGGGCCTAGGGTCGAACTTGGAACTCTACATTTACATGTTTGATAATTATCAAGTCTTAAACAACTGGGAAAAAATTAAAATCATTTGTTTTGTGATTTCAGAAATACTCTCAGCTGCTCTCCCATCCCGAGATGGCTAAAGAACGATGTAGTTTTTGTTCAACACATGACATCGTCGACAGCTCTGCGTTAGTACTCCCACCGCTCTTGGTCGTAAAGTTCTCCGGATAAAAACCGCTACGACAGTTGTTGATTACACATCTACTATAAACCATCGTGTTCATTCAGCAACGTTGGGTTAAGCTCTTTCGACTATTTGAAAACATCTCCTGCTGAATTGTAACTTCTTCATTTAAAGTTTTTTAATATGTATTCAACATTTTTACTTATATCTCGAAATAAATATTTTGCAAAGTATATTAATTGGATTTTCTTTACAGTTTCTCTAAAATTAACATAATTATGATGTATGCTCAATATTATTGTGTTGAAGCGTTATAACGGATTTTTTTTATCACTAAATAAAAGCGACAAAAACATTTCTATAATGATAAGAAATCTATGCTGAAAGCAGAGTCCATTGTATGATTCCGACTATATCATGAGCATGTGTTAATGAATCACAATGAAATAGTGAGGATACCAGGTGTTAACGAAAAGGTAGCGTATCCTGCCACACCGGTGGTACCCATCACAAACACATGCAAAGGTGGAAACATGTCGTGTATATTGTCTGTTCGGCTGTTGTATGAGTTATTCACTTGATATATTGGGTAATATTGTCCACCGTATGGGGTAATTGTTCACTTATCGGGTTGTTGTTCTTCTGGGGTATTAGCAATGTGTTTACTTGTTAATATTGAGTAATTATTGACTGGTAATTGTTCACGTTTTGGAATCTGGTAATTGTTCAGAGTTGGAATCTTGTAATTGTTCAGAGTTGGAATCTGGTAATTGTTCACGTGTTGGAATCTGGTAATTGTTCAGAGTTGGAGCCTGGTGATTGTTCAGAGTTGGAATCTGGTTATTGTTCAGAGTTGGAATCTGGTGATTGTTCAGAGTTGGAATCTGGTGATTGTTCACGTGTTGGAATCTGGTAATTGTTCAGAGTTGGAATCCTGTGATTGTTCACGTGTTGGAATCTGGTAATTGTTCACGTGTTGGAATCTGGTAATTGTTCGGAGTTGGAATCTGGTAATTGTTCACGTGTTGGAATCTGGTTATTGTTCACGTGTTGGAATCTGGTAATTGTTCAGAGTTGGAATGCTGTGATTGTTCACGTGTTGGAATCTGGTTATTGTTCACGTGTTGGAATCCTGTGATTGTTCACGTGTTGGGATCTGGTAATTGTTCAGAGTTGGAAGCCTGTGATTGTTCACGTGTTGGAATCTGGTAATTGTTCACGTGTTGCAATATGGTAATTGTTCACGTGTTGGAATCTGGTAATTGTTCACTTGTGGAATCTGGTAATCGTTTACTTTTTGGTATCGAATTATTATTCACTTCTGAGCAGCATCGGGTCATTGTTTGTGCTCGATTGGTCGATGCATCTCATCGTATCCCAAGTGCATGGATCGATGCTCATGGTATCAATTACTGGATTGTCTGGTCTAGATTCGATTATTTACATACCGCCGTCAAACAGCTGGAATATTGCTGAGTGCGGGGTTAAACAAGAAACGAACAAACAAACAAACAAACGATTAGCAACCTCCACGTGAAGACATGAGAAACTCGAAGTCGGAAGGTATCCCTGCAACCATGCTCTCGGAAATGATGCTCTCGGTGAGTTAGTGAGTGAGTCTAGTTTTACGCCGCTTTTAGCAATAGTCCAGCAATATCACGGCTGGGGACACCAGAAATAGGCTTAACACATTGAATCCATGTAGGGAATCGAACCAGGGCCTCCGGCATGAAGAGCGAACCCTTTAACCACTAAACTACCCCACCACCGCCGATGCTGTCCATCCAGCACTGTTATTGGTTAGCTAATGTGGACATTTGCACAATCTATAAATCGTAGATACCATTTCTCATTTATAAATGTATGGATTTACTAATTCATTTTGTATTGTATTCTTATTAATATTATCTTTTATTGTCGGATTAACGAGACTTGACTGTATATAGGTTATCTATAAAGCTAACACCCCGTAAAGCGAATATAGGAATAAATCATAGTAAAGTAGAAATAGATATTTACTCAAGGAAATACACATTACCCTCATATTAACTTTATAACGGGGACTGGCCCCGTGACGTAGTGGTAGAGCATCAGCTCAGGGAACGGAAGGTCGGTGGTTCGATCCCCAGGCAGAGACATACCAAATGATGCTAAAAGATGGTACTTGGTGTTACCCTGCCTGGTGCTTGGCATTAAGGAGTTCCATGTCATATATTTCCATGTCTGATTTATTCTGAATAAATTAATTATTTGAGTAATCCGTAATTCAGTAATCAGTAACAAGATTCTTTATTATTACCGTCTTGTGGATAGGGCGTCTGCCCGGAAGGCGGAAGGTCGTGGGTTCGATCCCGGCCGCGTCATACCAAAAGACGTTAAAGATGGTACTTGGTGTTACCCTGTCTGGTGCTCGGCTTAAAGGGGCTCAAACAAGGACTGGTCGGCTCGGAGTCAGTATACTGTGTCTGGGAGGGGTATCCGTGTTAAATTGCGGCATGATATCTCAGTGGTGGTCACTATAAAGCTGGCGTAAGTCCGGACTAGTACCAGCAGCTAGACACACACGTACATGCACGTCGCTATATAAGTGCAATAATTTTGAACGCGACGTTAAACCCCATTTCACCTCACATTATTCCAGAACCAATGTTAACGTGGGTGTCAAGCTTCATGTATTTATTTGGAACTGAACTTGGTGATCACTTCGTCCTCCGCATCAATCACCGCTGAAACACGTGGAATATATGTATGGTGTGAAACAAAACCAATCTAGATTTATATAAAAGTAAGTCTCACCAGCTCTAGCCAGTTCTATTCCACATTATGAAATCAGCATCAGGAAATTTAAAAAAATCATATACTATGTGTTAGTCTAATTTCTTCTATGTACAGGAGGTCTAGCGGTATAGCGTCCGCCCGGAGAGCGGACGGTCCGGGGTTTGATCCCCGGACTCGTCATACCAAAAGACGTCAAAATATGGTACTTGTTGTAACGCTGTCTGGCGCACGGTATTAAGGGGCTAAAACAAGGACTGGTCGGCTCGGAGTCAGTATACTGTGTCTGCGTGGGGTATTCATGTTAAACTGCGGCAAGGTATCCCAGTGGGCTAGCACTATAAATCGGCATCAGTCCGGACTAGTACAAGCAGCCACACACACACACGTGCATGCACGTCGCTATATAATGCAATAATCTTGGACCTGACGTTGAACCCCACGTCACCTCTATGTACAGGGACATCGCCGGGATTTATTGGCAGGTGTTTCCCAGTAACGCGACCTGTACACTGTAGGGGAAAGTGTCTGGTAGTGATGGTTATTGAACGCATGGTAATGAACTGCAGTGGTATCAGAGTCAACCGATAGGTAGGTGTCAAACCAGATTGGAACGTGTAAGGTACAGACATCGAGTATTATAGTTTATTGAACACCTTGCAATAAAATAGTCAAATTTCGCGAAGAAACTCGACACTTATTTGAGTCAGTTATTTAAAAGGTGGCAAAATGGCTATGCTACTATTAGAAAGGAAAGCTTAAGAATTCGTTTGTGAATGACCAATGTGAGGATGTCCGGAAAATAGTTACCAAATATCCCCTAAGGCCAGGTTCCGCAAAATGATCTTTATTCTACGACTATCAACAAGTAACCGGTGAGGTGAAATGGGGTTTTACGTTGCGTCCAAGATTTTTGCTCTTATATAGAAACGTGCATGCACGTGTGTGTGTGTGTGTGTGTGTGTGTGTGTGTGTGTGTGTGTGTGTGTGTGTGTGTGTCTGTGTGTGTGTGTCTGTGTGTCTGTGTGTGTCTGTGTCTGTGTGTGTCTGTGTGCTGCTTGTACTAGCCCGGACTAATGCTAGTTTTATAGTGCTATCCCACTGAGATACCATCCCGCAGTTTAACAAATACCCTACTCAGACACCGTATACTCCGAGCCGACCAGTCCATGTTTTGTGCTCTTAATTAACATCATTATTTATTTAGATTAATTTAGATTCTTTAGATATACTTTTGTTTCTTATAGTATCTCGAGACGGCAGACTTCCGGGCAAGAGAAACTATACACCCATGTTTGATGGTGTCAAAAACACACACATAAAATGCTATTTCTATGGTGATGTATTCGATACGGGTATCATAGGCGATATTACATGACTCATAGCAATGAGTATCTCACAACAGGCTAGCCTAGTAACGTTTTGATTACGTTTGTAGTTTTTTGGTGATATCATATTTTCAAGGGCATATTGTTTTTCCCCAGTAGTTTATGTATCGTGTAGTTAGTTATACAGAGCATTGCTGAAAGCAGCGCAAACAAAACCTACCTCTTATATAATAATAATCCAGGTTCGTCCCGATTATGTTTCTAGATCTGTCAGCACCATACCCATGGTCGTTCGTTTCACGGAAGTGGTAAACGTCTGAGACATGCATCATTTCGGGCTTTCCTCCAACATTAAGCTGATAGGCCGAGTTATAACTGGAATATTGGAAAACTCACACACTCATACAATGACACATCCTCCAGGTCATGTTCCGATTCGACCCTTGGAGATCCGGGGTCTTCAGCACCTCATGCTTGCCGTAAGAGGCGACTAACGGGATCGGATGGTCAGGCTCGCTTATTTTGTTGATGAATGTCATCGTATCCCAATTGAGTAGATCGATGCTCAGGATGTCAATCACTGGATTATCGGGTCCAGACTCTATTATTTACAAACCGCCGTCATCTATCTGAAATATTGCGGCGTTAATTAACAAAAAAAGATCCGCATCGCGTGGTAGTACTGTATGTTGTGGTTCACTTACATACATCATCCCTTGTGATACTTATAATCGATGTGTGAAAGAGTTTATTACATAAAATGATTGCCCCGGTGTTAATCGTGTACTGTTGTTACGATGTTGTTGCTGTTGTTGTTGTTGTTTTGCTATTGCGGCGTAAAGATAATCTATACTCATTCTATTGACTAATAGCTACTTCGGCAAATATATTTGACGTCCAACCTCCTATTCAAAGTGGTAGGAGACCGCCTCCGTGGTCTTGTGGTAGAGCGTCTGTCCGGAGAGCTGGAGGGCGGGGGTTCGATTACCGCCCGCGTCATACCAAAAGATGTTTAAAGATGGTACTATTGATACCCTGTCTGGCGCTCGGTATTAAGGCGCTAAAACAAGGACTAGTCGGCTCGTAGTCAGTATACTGTTTCT